TTTGCTTAACAAAGCATGCCGCTTGGATGCGGCGGTTCCATGGCAAAACTGAATAAAATACTGAATGAATACATCGTCACAACCCACAATGTATATAGTGAGCAATTAATTAAAGCTCTGTCTTGCTTACTAATTAGTTTAATACTAATATAGGAGAAATAATTTCGAAATTTCTTGCTCGTCAAACGCACTCTCGATGTGCTGAATATACTATCTAATTTATATAATATATCATTAGTATGCTCATTTTCCTCTATATTATACGTGCAATAGATTGGCGATATTGTACTCTCTTTGAACATATCACGGCAAATATAGAGAATTGTATTACTTTCGACATCCAATCGCGAATATACGTAACAAATATTCACTCTTTATTATAGCGCCCTTATTAATGCGACTATGATAATGACCGCGTGTAACCCGAGTCAATATAGGATAATTCTATTAGGTGTTTGCAAAAACACCGTATGACATTAAAGCTATTTTTATTTATTGATAACAATGAGATAATATATAATATTTTAATTAAAGTATTGATCGCATTTCTATCAGTAACTTTTTGTTATTTTTCAGGCAATAGTTTTATCTTGCGCCAATAAAATGACTCGTTTTTTGAGGCAATTTATTTCATCATTTTCGTACTTCCTCACCATTGCGGAACTATGTATTATATGTATGTTAACTGTGTATAGGCTATGCTGCATCGACTATGCTGATTCGAGATTATTTGAGGCCATTTTTCCTTCATAACTTGATTCAAACGTCACAATTGTTGACTGCAGCGATCTCCTGTGATCGTTTACTTCGATAATAATAGCTGATAGTAAAGCACTCCTTCTTAGTATCACCTTATTACCGTGGGGGAATTTTATTACCGTGGATATTGTGTTTTATTGTAAATGTCGATGATTGACTGGAATCAACTCATGACTTTTAGGATTGTCAAAATAAATATATTTTTCATCATCTGTAATTTTATTCGCTACAAAAAACTTATTTGTGCCAGGCAAGCAATGAGAAACGGATAATAAGCCAGTTCGCAATCGCGTGTACAGAAAGTTCATGGGGAAGTCATCATTCTTCCTTTTGGATCTTCCCATTGCTTTCAAATAACGGAATACTATTGATTCATCAATTCCAAACTTTGCAAGTTCTTTCAATGTTTGACCCAAGTTTCCATTAAACAATATTTCTAATTCGTTATTCTCTATCTTGTTTGAATGATCAGAACGTAGCTTATCGTTGACAACGTAATCATTATTTCTAAACTTTTCAAATTACTTCTTACAAATTACTTCTTACAGCGAACACAACATTCTCTCTAATAGATCTTACAAATTAGTCTTTTAATTGTTACAGTAGTTTTACTTTAATTAAAATGGTAAAGCATGTGATGGCAAAAATGAACTTTATCTGATTTGATCTTGAATCATGTTAAATGTAATGTTTTGTTCGAAACTAGGAATTGTCAACCATCAATTCCGATCCCTGGTAGAAATTTCACGCAGTTTGTAAGCAGTTACTGAACAGTTATATTAACGTTTGCCCAGTAACTGACGAATAAAACTGTTGGGATCCCAATCAAGATGTAACGCTTTGTCTGCAGATACTGAGCACAAAAAATGCGCAATGTCTGAACTCATTTATTGACCGAAAACTGAGCAATAATTGGACGAAGAAACTATTCAGTCGATTAATAAGCAAGTTTACTGCTCATAAAATGGACAATTTTATGCTAGTAATAATGGATATTATGTGCATGCTTGCTTATTGTACAATTTTAATTTTTAATAAAAGTCAGTACAGTCATAGACATAAAGAATGTCTAATTTTTTGTAATAAGTTTCAGAATATAACCGAATAGTCCAATATAAAAAACGTATTTCTTAGATATTATTCTCTCATTGGATAATTTTTAGGTTACGTTGCCAACAAAAAGTCATACAACCTTTATATCCACAATTGTATAGGAAGGTGCGTTTCTAAAATAGTCTAATGTGTTTTTGTCGCAATGCAATTCTATATTATTAATATACAGCCCATTTATCGTTTGCTCACTTTCAACTCTAACTTTACTTGTCACTTCTGCCATAACGTTTTGTTTTGTTAAATTCCAGACTTCCTTCAACTTCCTCTTCCTTGCTTTATATTTCGCTACGTATTCACTTATTCTTTACATAGTTTTAAAATCGTCTCTATGCAATATAATTTTTATTATACACATGTGTATGATAAAACTTAATAAAACTATGTTCAGTTCCTTTCCAGTTTTTGCGTAGTTTCGATGCAACTATGAAATGCAGTAATACTAGACAGTAACTGATTAGGTAACTGGTTAATAAAATAGATTTCTACTAGGGATGGTTGACATTTAAAAACTAAAAAGCAGCTTAAAAGAAAACAATTATTAAGTCATTGCTACAGGCATCTATTTGTGACTTTAGGAATTTTTGCACCTAATAGGATAACGAGAAAAATGAATCGGTGATATTATAATTTTATTATAATTTTCGAATAAATAAAAATTATTGGCATTTTAATGGTAAATAGAGAAGTCATTGATATCTGATACATTTTTTCATTAATTTAAAATTGTTGAAAAATTTCAGAAAAATGCATGTAACTTTCTTTTAAAACTCAATTAACCGATTATGACTTAATAAATAAAAAGTTGTATATTGCTTTTTAATTGTTTTTAAACAGAAAAATTTATGAAAAAACTACTTAAAAAATCACTAATGTTGTAATTGTTTAAAAAAAAGAAATTTGAGATTTTATTCAATTTATTTAAAAAAGCTTTGTGTAAGGAAATAAGTCTAAATAAAATATAAAAAACATTTTGATGCATTATACAAATTAAGAAAAAAAATAAGAAATACACGAAGTACAATTTTAAAGAAGAAACATTCATTCACAAAAAATTTATTAATCTTTCTTGCGTTTGTCTCATTTAACGTCTTTGTCAAAATTTAGAAAAACCACTTTAATTAAATACATTAATAACTTGAAAATTATTAAAATATAAAGTATATAAAGAAAGATAAATTTCCACTTATCTATAAAAAGTGTATGTTAAGTAAATAGAGAGATCACTCCTAAAGTAATCAAAGACAAAATAGATTTGCTCCGGCTGCTATTCAAATAATTTATCAATTCAATTAATTCATCAACTAATTTTATCGTTACTGTACATTTGTTATACTGCCGTTTTTTGGAATATATAAAGCCTTGAAAATTTTGAAATAAAAAGAAATACAAAGTTATTAAAAGTGCCCGGATATGACCTTCTTTATCCAATTTAAGGGTTAATCTTTATATACTAATGTTTTAATAAATTTATAAAATACAACGAAATTTTGTTTTGTTTCTCTATATTTTTTTACAACAGTTAATTTTACTCGTCATTTTACGTACTAGTAATATGAAGTTATAAAGAAGTAAATATTAGATATTTTATATATTGTATTAAAAATTATCATAAAAAATATATAAGATATCTCAGAAAGTGTCCATTTTTCAATGATTTTTCCCCAAGTTTTACTTTTATATACAGAATGATCAAAAGAGTCGATTTATACTGAAAATAATATGTAATTTATTAAAAAGAGAAAAGGAATTGTATCTTGCAAGTGTATCGTTCGAAAAAATACGGTCACAGAATTCCTCTATTACTTTTTTCTACCTTAGAAAAGAGCTACAACTCAACACTCAGTTACCGAAATCATTCTAAGTACGACTTTAAAACGACGTACGTGGAAGTATCTCTCTTTTTTTACATGATACTCGTTGAAAAAGTGCTAAATGTCTAAAAACGATCATGCTCGATAATTGGTCACCGGCCAGCAATAATTGCGCCGATGCTCGTGATTGAATTCTTTATACTGATTATTCGGATACGCAGCCGTGTACGCGTCTATAAACGCCGTTCTCGTCTTTACGGTCGCGACGCGCATTTATACAAATACGCATTAATGTCGGGCACTGGACTTAATGACGAAATCCACTGACAAAGCTCCTTCGAAGGGTCGAGATGCCGAGCGGCCCGCTGATACTCGCTACCCGCGCGTTTCAAACAGTATACTCGATTAAATTCGCGAAATCGGAGATCCGAATGCGATCTCTTAACGACTCTCACACGATTTCAACGGCGTCGTTGAATGCCGGCACGTGTTAGGCGTGGAGAACCCTCCTCTCCGGGGCTCTCTTCGCGGAGCAGCTTTGGCAAACTGGATCTCGAGTTCGACTCGACGCGTTCAATGCGCTTTGCACGCGCGAGCTCGCGCTCCCGCTACGCCACGTCGTTTGCCCGCATTTAGACGTTCGCGCCGTCCTTTAGGTATAAATTCAGGCGAAACTCCTCTTTCACGACGCTCGGCACCAATGACGAAGAACATCTAGCATGTTCTCACTACTGTTCGCTGTTCTTGCGTATCGTGTCTTATTGTGCTTCTCTGGTGAAGCCTACCAGCTTACCGTTACCTGGAACGAGGCCGACCATGACAACGAAGAAGACAACTGCGACTACGGCTACGACGACGACGACGATGATGATGGCGACGACGACGACGACGACGACGACGGCAGCAGCAGTGACGACGACGACGTTGTTCCATTTAATTAAGTTCGCATTGTACCGAAGTACACCCTGTGGCGAAAGATCGTTATCGAACTCTTGCAAGATATGACAACGGCAATGGGCTGGCACGCTTATCAGGAGCGATCTACTCGAGCAAATGAACGAACGGCTCTCCGTTCGTTCGGAGATTCGCCTCCTAACGAGATCGAGAAGTCTATCGACGGCATTGCTCTTCCTCTTGATAGCCCGGCAACGTATGCCGCATTACGACCAAGTTCCACTTCTGTCTCTCGGGCCGAGGCTGATCTCGATCATCTGGGACGACAATAATTAGAAGTTTCAGCGGCTACCGGTTGCGTTCGAGATAAATTCTTTCGGAGGACTAGTTAGTCGGAAAACAAGATCGAAGTAGAAGTCTGTGTCTTTTATTAATTACAGCATTTATTAACCGTATATATAAGACATTTTGTCTATGTGTACATTTGAAATAATGAATGGATGTAATTGATATTTGTATGATATTTTACGTGCAGAGTACCTGATATACATTTATCTGATATATATCTTATATTTCCGCGAAGAGACGCCACGTGAGATAGCAAATTTCACTAGGATATCTATTGCTTCGTTAGCAAAAAAATTAAATCCATAATAGAGCGAACGATTTCGTTCATTGGACCTATTCGCATGATTTCTTGCAGTCCTCCATTGTCAAGAAGTTATTATCATTTCCTGCACAGCCACCGTAGATAAATTCGTAACATTTCTTCTCCTTGGGGTTGTAGGCAAATCTGTGTAGTGCAGATCTGCAGGGTCCAGGCTCAATCGGTTCAAGGCAGACTATGAATTTCAAACGTTTCAGCCGTTAAAACAATACGAATAAAGCAATCGTTGCTTCTCAGTAACTCATGAAAACAATCGATGAAATTAATAGAACAACATAAAACTATAGACATCTATACTGAGAACTAGACTAACTTGTATAAAATACATGGATAAAAAAAATACCTACAAAACTTATGCGCATGCGTTTTGTAAGTAAGGTAATAGTCATGTTTGGTTGGATCAATTTTAAATAATACATGTTATTGTATATATATATATATATATATATATATATATATATATATATATATATATATATATATATA